ATCTAACCAGCTTATTATTCAAAATAAAGGTGAACTATAAGAACACATTACTTTTGCCAACCTTCTACTGGTTTTTTCTGATACTTTGGAGTATTAAGCATTTCTACTGCTCAATTAGCTATTCAGTAAGGTCGCATCTACGACAGTAACATTTAACTGTCAAATAAAATATTTTGCTTTTCTTGTTCAATCGACTATTTTACGTTAATTAAGTCAATAAATTTCTTTATTTTTCTAGCATTTAATAACAGTGTCATAATACTGATATTAGAGCGTAACAAATTTGAAACACAAATTTTCTGAAATTTGAAGCAAAAAAATGTTTAACAGAGAAGTTTTGATTTTGGTGAAAAGTTAAAAAAAAATTGAAAAAAAAATTCAAACAAATTTTAAACTCAAACTTTGAGTGTTTTTTCGTTTTATGTTTTGCTGGCTGGTTTACTGACTTCTCAAAGACCACTTTCTTATGTGCACAACAACAGTTCATACGTTGTACTTTGTTAATGATACCTTAACAGCAAATTCTGCTCTTATTTTGAAGTATTTTTGACACATAATTTTTAACACACACTTATTAATCTCAAATTATGACATTTTTGCGTCAGTTTATATTGGTAACCAAATTCGGTCGTAAAAAATACGGCAGCTTATGTTGAAGCGAGTATAAAAAGTAAACTGCAACGTAACCAGCAAATGTTTATTGTTTTTTTTTAAAAAAAACTGAACAAAACTGAACAGCCGACAAACAACGTTTTTCAACAGTTTGCGACTTGGTGTCTGGTGTCATTTAGGTGTCATTCCTTGGTTATGATAGGCGGCAAACCAGTACAATATAATATTCTTTTGCCAGTTAGGTTACTTTATAGATTTTTCACACAGATTCTTGTTTGAAACAAAGAAATTTAGATACTCATTTGTCACAAGTATCAATTTGGCTGGGGTTTAGTTTATCAAATCAATCTACATTGATAATTACTTAATTTGCATATCAATTACACCCTATACAGATGCTTTGAAAAGCAAAAATTTAGAAAGATTATCTGTACACCCAGTTCCTCACTGCAACTTACCTTCATAATAAAAACGAAGAAAACAAACTAAACGAAAGCTGTAAGAAAGAAAAAAAAAAGAACGATTCTGAATAAACGTTGACGTTACAGCGATAAACTTAAAGTGTCTTGTCTCACGCAGAGAAGACAAATATGCTACGACAAATCATACACAGTTGAATACTGTTTTTGACCTTCAATGTTGAAGAAGTTAAACAGAACAAACAGTATTGCTTTACCTGTTAATGCCAAAAGTTTGTTTTAAAAAGTTCAAATTTAATAGAAATGTATTCAATGCTTTTTGACGAAAAGCTGATAGGGGTGGTCTACAACCAACAGACTTTTGTCATACTACGCCACGTATTTTGTCTAAGCGTAAACAGAGTAAACAGAAGTAGACTGAAACTAAAGGAGAAAAAAAAGAAGCAACTGCATTTTGAATTTGCACATTTCTCTACTTTATCTATTCAACTACGTATTTCAATTTTATAGTCAATAAAAATGCAGTCATGTAGATAAAAAAAAATTACATATGTAAACAAAAAAACCAAAAAGCAAAAATATTTTTGTTTTTGTCTGAGAAACTTTAAAGAAATTAATATAAGATGACGTAATAGAAACAGCTAATTTATAAAGAAAAAAAAATAGAAATCTACAAGGAAATTTTACCTAAATTTTTCTAATTTTAAAATAACCAAATGTTTTATAACTGTATTACTCTTATAAGCCTCAGCTAAATTATCATTCATATAATAACTGTAAATTGTAAAAATTATTGTACAGCTTGTTAATCGTTTCTTTTTTTATTCATATTCACTCAGATACTCTTTGACATTTATGATGAACGTATTTTATAAACTACAACAATGCTAAGATCTTAAAATGATCACACAGTTCCAAATCTCTATTTTATAGAAAAAAAAAGCACAGTTTTTATTTGTAATCATCTTTTCTACAAATAATAGTTGCAGCTAAAACCCATATATTGTTGCTAAACCAAAGTAGCGTCAAAGAATATAGCGCTAAAAGTTATGAAACCTGAATTTAAAGAAAACTGTCTCCACTTCACGATCATTTCTTCTTAGACAAGAAGCTTTAGATGCATAAACAGGTTTTAACTGTTGGTAATAGCATCAGTACGCCTTATTGATGCTCGTTTTAGATCGAATTTAATACTATAACGTTTTTGCAGCTTATTAGAAGCTGTTAGCTACCAGATTAATACCTACGTGAAATGAATTTTCACCTTTGACGGCTATTATCACAACTAAGAACAGCTCACTTATCAAAGTTTACAAATGCAGAAAATGTTAAGAAAAATAAATGGCATAAATTTAGGAAAGTCAAATATTACTACAGTGTGGTAAATAACAGTTTTCAGAATTTTCAATGCTTTTTTTTTTCAGTTTAGTTAGACTGAAATTTACACTATTAACCTAAATCTAATTCTGATCCACTTTTGATAATTTACTGGAAAATCTCTTTTTGTGAAAAATTTTAATCTAAAGTAAGTCAATTTATTAGAAAGTACTATTTTTTAGTAGTTTAGTTTAGTATCAGAGGCACTTTGGTTACTGTTTATACAGTGCAGATGTTGAAAATTATTAAAATTTTTTCTTTCTATACATTAGCATAAAAACATTGTAGATTTTCAAGATTCTCTTTTAGTAAATAAAAGTTACAGTTAAATATTACAGAAATATCTCATTTGTTACAAACAGATTTTGTAAAAAGAATACAGTAGACCTTAAAGCTGTGTTTTTTTAATAAAAATTATAATCTTTTTTGTAAAAACGTTATCAAAATATAATAAAATTAAACTTTTTATCATGGATAAATCCAGAAAACGTGTTACGTTCAGCAAGTCTTCAACCACTGTGCAGTCATTCAGCTGATCATTTCAATCAGCAATTTCAAAGTTTTTTGTAATTTACCTACTATTTCACCTGTAAGGTAAACTTAAATTTGATTTCTCATTTTTTGTACTTTTATATTTTAAGCTGTTTTCTTAAGTTGTTCAAGTTAATAGTTTAAGCTACTGAAAATCTCAATTTTTTCCTCAATTTATTTTCGATTAGGTGAAAAATTGAACAAAGGCAGAATTTTTTTGTTTATATGTTAGAGTACCGTACGAAGAACAAAAATTGAGGAAGTGTTCAAAAAAAAAAAAAGAAGAACAAAAAGTTAACCTATTTTTTTTTCTTATAAACTGTTTTCATTTGAGAGCAATTAAATGACAAAAAAAGAATTTCGTTTAGAAATAGCCAAAAAGAGCAGATTTCTGAGAACAATTATTAAGTGTACACAAAATTTTTTGACCTTATGACTGACTGTACAATGAGAAATTTTTTAGGATACCTTCAAACAGTAATTTGGTTAGAATAGTAACTTAAGAAGCTACTCTAAAAAGTGTGAGATACGGCACAATTTGGTATATAAGAGAGATTTGAAAGAAACATTTAAAGATAAGGAAATTTTTTGCTAACTTAATTGGCACAAACCGAGTGGTATCTTTGTAAACTAAAAAACCACTAAAATTCTTTATGGTGCCAGAATCTTTGAGCTCTGTTTCTGCAACTGTACCTCCGAGTCTCCCGTCTTTGTACAGTCTTTCTTCCTCTTTGTTTTTAATCAATCTTTCTTGACTTTAAATAGCCGTTTATTAATCATCTTTATATTTTTGCTTAACCGAAAATATTGTTGTTTTGTTCTTGTGTTTCAGGAAAAAAAAAGGAATGTTTTGCCGATGTTAGTCTGTAAAGATAAGGCTGTTTTACCCGACAACAAGTTTTCTGCTAATCATCTCAGTGACTTTCAGTGAAAAAAAACAATTCTGAAAATTGAATGTTGTAGTAAATTTTGTCAGACAATAGTTAAGTAAATATTAACTGAAACTTCTGAATCACTTTTTTAACAGCAACAAAATAATCGATACCAAAAAAAAAAAAAATCGTCAAATTATCGTCACTCCTTTTTGGTCAAATTCTTAAATGCTTCTAAGTCAAAAGTAATTTTCTAATAGATGTATCAATTACAGCACTATCTGTGCGGTATGATTTTCTTCTTTCCATTTTTTTTTTCTATATTTTACCCTTTATTGCTTCTCATCTTTTGCGCTTACTGAATCGTTTT